TTTGGTATAAGTTTCCATCATAGCAATTATAACTTTTTATCAGTTTGTTTTTGAGCAACAGGTAGCAATTTTTTAGTTGAGTTTTTTCAGTATCTAACAAAATGATGATGATGGTGATGATTACAGCAATGATGATGATGACAATACCATAGAGAAAAATCTCTTGTTTTTAAAGCTATTTGAGGGGATAGAAAAACTTTTTTAAAAAAAATTTCCTGTGACCACTGATAAAATATAGCACTAATTGTCAAGAGTACAATGTAATCAGCTTTTTTTGTTCACTTAAGGTGGTGTTTGGGCAAGACGGAAAGCAAGGACATTTGGTTGTGGATGGCCTGAGGGCCCAGGAAGGAAGTTTGTCTGGAAAGTCTACCTTCAGCATCAGAACACCAGTTTACCTGGGATCATCTCTATCAAGAAAACCAAAGGTAAACAGTTACATTTCAGAGCTGTTCATAAAAATAGTTTACCTTTAATATAATCATTATAATTACATAGCATATTCTAGAATTGCAAAATATATTCAATGACATTTTTTTGAGTTTTTAAAAAATATTTTATTGTGATTTAGGAGAAAATTTATATTGCAGATTAAATTCTCATTTAAAAATTTCTATGCATATTATTAAGGGATATTGGTTACACTTTCCGCAATGTGTAGGCATTCTCATTATTTCCATTCTGGTTGTTCTGTTCCATTAATCTAGCTTCCTTGTCCTCCCTTACCTTCTCTTCTTTGGTCTAGGGTAAATGTTGACCATTGGGTCTCATTTAGGTGGTTGTTTAAAGGACCACAGTACTCACAGGTGATATTATTTATTTTATGGGCCACTCTGTCTTTTGGCTGATAGGTGACCTCCAAGAGTGGTTTAAGTTCCAAGTTTAAAGGGTATCCCAGAGCAATAGTCTCAGGGATTCCTCTAGTTTCTACTGGTCCAGTAAGTCTGGGCTTTTTTAGGAACTTCAGTTTTGTTCTACATTTTTTTCCCCATTCTATCTGGGACCATCTATTGTATCCCTAGTTGGAACGGTCAGTAGTGGTAGCTGGGGCACCATCTAGTTCCTCTGGTCTCAAGGTAGGTGAGGCCGTGGTTCATGTAGACTGCTAGTCCTGTAGGCTAGTTTCTTCTTTGAGTCTTTGGTTTTCTTCTTTCTCTTTTGCTCCAGACTCATAGAAACCAATAGTTGTATCTTAGATGGCTGCTCACAAGCTTTTAAGACCCCCAACACTACTCCCCAAACTAGGATGTAAAACATTATCTTTATGAGCTATGTTATGCCAATTGACCTAGTTGACCCCCAAGACTAATATCCTAAGCCTTCAAACACGGTAACCCAATCCCACAAGGTGTTTGATTATGTCTAGGAAGTATCCATAACTGTGCCCCCTATGTGCTTTATTTTATATATGAATATATATGCAGCACACACAAACATGTATATACATTTGCCTACAGAAACACGTATACAGGCACACCCATGTATTCATATGTGCTTAAATATACCTATATAAACGTACATATCTACCTATGTAGCCACACACATATTTTTTGGTTCTTTTTACTGTTACAAAAGTGTGTATGTTGTGGTTTTTACCAAAATCGGCCCCTTATTATTGTGTACTTCTTGGTGTCATCTTTTACCTTGGTCAAATTGTGCTGACTTCACCCTTATTCAATATTGTCTTACCCACCACCAAAACTAACAAGTGTCTACTATCAAGAAAGTGATTCCTCTTCCCTCTCCCGCCCATCCGTGGTAACCACCAAAGAATGTTGCTTTCTGTATGTATACCTATTCTTGTATTTTTATAATAGTGAGATCATCCAGTATTTGTCCTTTGGTGATTGACTTATTTCACTCGACATAATGTTCTCCAGATTCACCCATGTTATAGTGTATTTTGAGAAGTCATCATTATTCTTTATGGCTGCATAGTATTCCGTTGTGTGTATGTATCACAGCTTGTTTATCCGTTCATCTGTTGATGGGCATTTAGGTTGTTTCCACCTTTTTGCTATTGTGAACAATGCTGCAGTGAACATCGGTGTGCACATATCTGTTCATGTCAGTAGTTTTAGTTCTCTAGGGTATATACCTTGGAGTGGGATTGCTGGATCATTGGGTATTTCTATTTGTAGCTTTCTGAGGAAATGCCATACCGTTTTCCGTAGTGGTTGAACCAGTTTACAATCCTACCAACAGTGGAAGAGGGTTCCAATCTCCCTGCAACCTCATCAGCATTTATTGTTTTCTTTTTTTTTGATCAGTGCCATTTTTGCAAGGGTGAGATGGTAGCTCATGGTAGTTTTGATTTGCATCTCTCTGATGGCTAATGATCATGAGCATCTTTTCATGTGTTTGTTGGCCACTTGGAATGTCCTCTTTGGTGAAGTATTTGTTCATGTCCTTTGTTGTTTGTGCTGTTTGTCTTTTTGTTTTGAGTTATTGAAGTTTTCTATCTATTTTAGACGTTAGACCCTTATCAGATAGATCATTCCCAAAGATTTTTTCCTAATCTTTAGGTTTCGATGACGTTTTAACATGTATGATTAATATCCATAAATCCCACAGAGAAATTCTCATCCCCTACTCCAAATCCTTCCTTTTTTAACTTCTTTTTTTTTTCATTTCATAATTTTTTTATTATGGTAAATATATATGTAACAAAACATTTGACATCTCAACCATCTTCACATGTACAGGTCAGTGACATTAATTATGTTCATTATGTTGTTCAGCCATCACCCTTATCCTGGTCCACTTGAGTTCCCACATTTTACCATCACCCTTAACAGCAGCTCAGTGTCCCCTAAGCATTGAGTCCTCCTTTCCCCTTTCCTCCTGCCTGCCCCTGGTAACCACTAATAAACATTGGTCTTGCCTATTCTCGATATTTCACATAAGTGGGTTCATACAATATTGGTCCTTTTGTGACTGATTTATTTCACTGAGCATGATATTTTTACCAACACCTTTTTTTTAAGGTACAGATTCATAGACCTGAATATAGAGCTTCTCTGTGGCTTTGTAAACATGAATCCCTTAGCTTCTCTTCCAGGGAATGCAGAAACAGTTGTTTCAGATTGTACAAAAAGGTTGTTTTGGTTAAAATAATGTTTTCCAAACTTCAGTAATTTGTAAACTGGTTACTTAATAGTTTGCTCTCAATCAACTGACTATTTAAATTTGTTTTAGAAGGGTCTTTTTATCCCTATCATAAATGAAAATCAGTATCCCTTACCATAAATAGTAGGTAACCATAAAAATAAATATATGAAAACAAAACAGTGTATTAAAGTCTAGCTAGATAGTGTGGCCTCTTCTCCCTTCATTTGGAAAAGAAGGAGATTGAGAAGTGTTCAAGACATATTAACATTGAACGAAAATCTGTTCCTTGTCCTAATCAGAAGGATGGAGAGAGAATTGAAAAAGAAATAATAACTTAATATATGTTTTAATGTTAGTTTATGTCTGAAATAACAAACTATCTCAAGAACCAAACTTGGGCAACATTGTCTAAGGGAAACTCACAGCTCCCTAAGTCCCCAAGAAGGAGAGGTGCCTCCCTGGGTTTGTCAAATTCAAAGGCTCTGATGGGCCACAGCTCCGGGGATGGGGCTTGTGAGTGCCTCTCCCTCTGCCTCTTCTTCCTTGCTGCCAGAGCAGTAATTACACCTGAGTTACATGGACAGCCTCACCCACCTGTCTTTCTTCTCCGAGATTTGCCTTCTCCCACAAGGTTAGGCAAGATGGTTTTGTCAACAGCTCGGGCCTAGATAACTATCCTCCACCTAAATGCAGTGGCAAACGCTCACCTGATCTTGCCTCTTTTCTCTGGAGCTGGTGGCACAGTCTGGTCTGATGTTTGTGTGCAGTGGGGGAGGTAAGGCCAAGATACAGATCTGGGTATTGAAATGGAAGTAGGCACAGCAGGTCTTTCTACAAGCTTGCATTCTAGGCATTTGGGGTGACCTAGCTTAGGTCAAGATAGTCTCCATAGGGGCCCCAACTTGGCCCACTTGAGTTTTCCAATGGGGTTTGGGCCAAGGCCCCAGCAAGTAATGAAGTATTATTTTGCTTTACCTCAACCTCTCAGAGAGGTCACAGGTTGGTATGGCTATTCAAGGGCACAATTCATTTGACCTGAATAATTTCTCTTAAAACTCCATTAACTGGGAGGCACAGTTACAGAGGCTTCCTAAACATATCAAAATAACTCACAGGATTGGTTTACTGGGTCCAAAGGCTTGGGACCGTAGTCTTGGGGGACAGCTTAGTCAATTGGCATAACATAGTTCACAAAGATAATGTTCTACATCTGAGTTTGGTGAGTAGCATCTGGGGCTTAAAAGCTTGCAAGCAGCCATCTAAGATACAATTATCGGTCTCTACTCATATGGAGCAAAAGAGAATGACGGAAATCAAAGGCTTAAAGAAGAAGCTATTCCAAGGGACTGATAGCCCACACAAACTACAGCCTCTTCCAACCTGAGACCAGAAGCACTAGATAGTGCCTGGCCACCACTGCCAACCATTCTGACCAGGGACACAATAGAAGGTCCTCGTTAGAATGAGAGAAAAATGAAGAACAAAACTCAAATTCCTAAAAGGCCAAACCTACACAACCGATAGAGACTAGAAGAACCTCTGAGACTATAGCCCCAAGATGCCCTTTGAACTTGGAATTGAAGCCATTTCTGCAGGTCACCTTTCAGCCAAATAATAGAGTTGGCTTATAAAATAAACATCAACTGTGAATAATGTGCTCCGTTAAACAATTAACTGGAAACCCTGGTGGTGTAGTGGTTAAGTGCTACTGCTGCTAACCAAAAGGTCAGCAGTTCGAATCCACCAGGTGCTCCTTGGAAACTCTGTGGGGCCGTTCTACTCTGTCCTATAGGGTAGCTATGAGTCAGAATCGACTCCATGGCAACGGGTTTTAAACAATTAACAACATGAGACCAAACGGTCAACAGTTACCCAAAAGCAAAGATAAGAAGGCAAGGAGGAGAAGGGAAACTAGATCAATGGAAACAGAACAAACAGATTGGAAATAATGAGAATGCTGACACATTTTAAAAATTGTAACCTGTGACACAGAACAATTTGCATAAAAATTGTTAAAGGAGAACCTAATTTGCTGTGCAAACTTTCACCTAAAACACAATAAAATATTATTTTTAAAAAAAACTCTATTAACCACACCCAGCATCCTAACATTTGGGGCAATCGGTAGCACCCCATTTGCCACATTCTTTACAAGCCAAGGTTCTTTCTACAACTCTCCTTCAGCCAGAGGGCACAAAACATTGTATTATCCCTCCCCATATCCTTTCAAATGCTGGGCAACATCCAATAAAACAGTGCCTGCTTCTGAATACCAAAAATTCTGCTCAACTTTTAGGGACTGAATGTTGTTATAGCCTCTCATGGAGAGCCTGAGCTTGGTTTCAGATATAGACTCTTCATTGTACAACATGACAAATCTTGAGAAACTAACTAGGAGCTGTATCAGTAGTTTATCACTGATGCTGGTACCACTTATATCTCTAATGTCACCATTTTCTCTTAAAATTGCCATATGTTCCATCTGTCACATAGAATTTCTGGATCCTAAAAGCATTTATTCTAGAAGGGAGCTTAGAGGTTCTATTCAGTGATTCCTCACCTTTTTTGAGAGTCTGATGTACTACGGTCCTTCTCCCCAGAAAATGCACATACAGAGAACACCTGGTATATAATGTAAGGGCTCACAGACCTCCAGAAGCCCATCCCTGGGCCCCAGGTGAGGAACTCTGTTCCAGGCCAGCTTTAGGCAGGCATGGGCTCCATGCAGGCCCACTGATGATGAACACTGTGCCTTATTTTTAACTCTATGATATTCATGATTTGTTGGTGGTGTGCTGAGACCAACAGTGTAAGGAGCCTTTTTACACTTTATTATTTTCGGAACTTTTTGGCCTCTTTAGCCAGTCAGCTGCCTTGCAATAAGCTATCACCCCAGCTCACGAAACCCTAACAGGTGGTTTGTACCTGCAAAGAGATGGTGCGATCTGTGAGCTATAAGGTGGAAATTTCCCCTTGTTGCAGCTGTTTCTGTAGGACCAGGGTCAGGCCAGTCATCCTGTTCTTGTTCCAGCACTAACTAGCAACCTCCACCTCCCTATGCCCCCTACATACACACTTCTTGGTTTGGTGGCACCTTTAAACTGTGACCACCCACCAGACATCTGGTATCTGGGTTTTTCTTGGTGCTGTGGGTAGGGAGCCAAATGAAAGTCAGGCCCACCTGACTCTTTGAAGCAGGAAGGGTAGATCCCACTTCCCCTTTTGCCAGCAAGCTGCCTTTACCTTGGCTACCCATCCATTTCTGAGAGCCGTGGTAATGAAGTTTGCTTTTTCTTCTGCTTGGTTGTAGAGCCTCCCCCAAAACAGCTTTGTGGGATGCCTGAAGAACTTTCAGCTGGATTTAAAACCCTTGGATATCCCCTCCACAAGCTTTGGGGTGTCTCCCTGCTTGGGGGGCTCTTTGGAGAAAGGCATTTATTTCTCCCAAGGAGGAGGCCATGTCATCCTAGGTAAGGAGCCGTTTGGTAGAGTTTATGTCTTTGAGTCTTAAGAACTCCATCCTTTTTCTTTAGTTATGATGTTTTAACTTTTTTTTTTTTTCTTTTTAAAGCTAATTCTGTATTGTTGGGTCCAGAATTTAAGCTTGTTTTCAGCATTCGCCCAAGAAGTCTCACTGGGATCCTAATACACATTGGAAGTCAACCTGAGAAGCACTTGTGTGTTTATATGGAAGCAGGAAAGGTGCGTAGCAATAGGATGGAATGGGAAGGGCGTTTGCATTCACATTAGAACCTGATCCCGTTTCTGGAGACCACAGTTGGTGAAGTTATGAGAAAGGGTGGAATCCAACTTTGTATTTAAGAGACCTTACTTTGAGGCTAACTTACCATTTTCCTTTAGCAAGTAATTTTATCATCATATTTTCTGTTCTTTAAAATTGGGAAAACCCAAACAAGTTGGGTTGAATTCCAGCTCCACTGCTTAGTTATACGGCCTGAGGCAAGTTCCTTAACGTCTCCAGGCTTAGTTTCCTTATCTATAAAATGCAAATAACAATTCTCATATCTTAGGGCTTTTGTCAAGATTATAGAAAGTGACATATACTCAATAAATGTAATTTTTCTCCCCTTCACTCTCACCACATCTTTTATTCGTAAGGCTAGTTCCAAAAGTAACGGGCTGGATTTTCTCACCAGTTGTCTACACCACATCACACCCATGCCCGTGGCACACTGAATCGGGCCTTATTCTCTGTACACAGCTCACCAACCTTTCCAGCCCCTGCAGCCATGCTGGCCACAGGGCTTCCACACCAGCTTCCCTTGGTCTTTCATGGATTCCTTCTTCTGATCATGCTTCTGCTGCCTTATCCTTCCCATCACTCACAGGCCTGAGTCAATGTTTTATTTTCAACTACCCACTGTCATTTCTTTCCTCCTTGAAAAGTCTCCTTAAAACCAAATCCTTCCAGAAAGCCTCTCTTTAGTTAAGGCCTCAGGTCCAAGCTTGATAATATGCTATTTTCTCCCGCCTCCATCCTTCTACAATTTACTAAAGGTGAGGGAAAAAAATCACAAAGCAAAGTATAACCACAACCCTAGAACACTTTTTATTTAAGTTGTAGCCCTGAAGTCTGAGCTGGTCTCTGGTAACACAGAGATGCAAACAACTGTCTGTTTCCTGGGCAGTTGAGGCAAGGCTGACTTTCCGGAGGAGGGGCTAGGGAGGGTCTCCAGTGAGAGTTTGTGGATAAGAAATAATCACAAAAGGTGGACAGAAGACCTGCTGACCTGCATAGCTGCAGCGACAGTGTTTAGCTCAAAAATAGCTGGAAAATAGGCTGCAGAGTCTAGCTACATGCAAATTTGATGTAAATTATTTATAGACATGCTTATTTTAGTCCCCTCATTCACCTTGAGTCAGCCCATGGAAACTCATGGGGGAGATTCTAACTTAGAGCCTGGGAGTGGAGGAGTCTGCACGATAGTATGTTGAGTGCCTGACCCCCAATACAAATACAGTCAGTTAGCTTTTTTAATTTCTTGAACGAGCACCTCTCGACAAGTAATGCATTTGTTGAATTATTATAATTGAGTGGCCCCCAGGCAGCAGGGTGTAGGCCTCAGGCAGCATTTTTGCCTTCCAAATTTTACATGTCCTTCTACACAGAGACCCTGTCACGTATTAATTGCTAAGGAGGATCCTCAATATTAATCAGTTGCCTTGAGCAGGGCCTGAGGGGGTTGGACTATGAGGGAATGGCTTTGCCGTTGGCAGCAGCTTCAGGCAGCCCTGGGCTAGCAGCTTGCTTGCCTTGAAGGAATGCAGCAGAGGGATTCTTCCAAAGCATCGGACCCAGTGTGATCACCTGGTGGGGGGGTAAAACCCATTGCCATCGAGGCGACCCCACCTCATGGGGACCCCATGGGTGTCAGAGTAGAACTGTGCTCCATAGGGTTTTTAATGCCTGATGTTTTGGAAATAGATCACCAGGTTTTTCTTTCAAGGTGCCTGTAGGTGGACTTGAACCTCCAGCCTCTTGGTTAGCAACTGAGCATGTTAACCAGCACCACCTGGGGACACCTGATGCAGGAGAGGGGACCAATATCTAGACTGCTCCTAGGCCATCAGGGTGGCACGGGCTGGGAAGGGAAAGTAGCAGGGGAAAGCTGGCTCCACCTACCTTTCTGAAGGAAATGGGAAAATGCATGTGTGTTTCAGGTTACAGCCTCTGTGGACAGTGGGGCAGGTGAGATCTCGACATCAATCACACCGAAGTGGTCTCTGTGTGATGGACAGTGGCACTCAGTGACAGGTATGACATCCTGTAGCCTCTTGTTTGTACACTGAAACAAGCCCCTACCATCTTGACTTGAATATCCCAAATGTAACCACTAGTGTCTGACCAGGGCCAGGGTCAGCCCACCACACTGACAGTTCTGTCTCAACCCCAAGCATATTTATACAATTCATGGTTGTGTCTCCAGTTCTCCATAACATACTAAGATTTTTTTTTTCTTGAGCCCAGCAAATTGATAAGCTATGTTTGTCTTCTGAAGGTAGTGTAATATTCTGGCTCTGAAGATAAAAAGAAAAGAACAGAGTTCAAATCTCCTTTCCATCCCTTACCCTGTGTTACCTTAGGCAAATTACTTAATTGTTCTTTACCTTCAGTTTCCTCATCTATAAAATGGAGGTGAAAATAGTGTATACATTCCAGGGTTGTGAAAATTAAATGGGATAATGCATGTAAAGTGCTTAGCCAATATCTGGGGCATAGTGAGTGCTCAGTATTTGTTCTTACTATTATATTAAGACTAATTGTTGCATTGTTTTTTCAGCAACCATTTAATTGTTAATGCAAACTACTAGGCAAACCACTGGGTGGAGAACAGGCATAGCCTCTCAGATATAATTTGCCATTTTATTAATAACTTGTAGACATTTATTTAAAGATATATTAACCTGTATTGGCTAAAATACCTTTTGTAAAAAGTGGTCTCTTCTTAGCTAATTTGAAAGCTAACTACCTTGAAATTAGCTAAGATTGTTAACATAGGAGGGATTTTGTTTATAGAGGATCATAAGCTACTGTCCTTGGAGTCAGTTTTCAGAAGCTCGTGTCTTCTTGGGAAGTAGCTGAGATCATGGGAAATAAACATGGCCCCCAGAGACAGGCAACCAGAGCTTGAATCCTAACTCTTTAAACTAATAACCAAATCATCTCGTCAAGCTCCTCAATGAGTCAGTCTCTAACCTATGAAATTTAAAAAAAAAAAAACATTATCTTGATGGTCATTGTTAATTGTAGTAATTGTTCAGCTGCCTCTTCCTAGTTTTCTACAGATAATTACTGAGCACATAGAGTTGATTCTGACTCATAGTGACTCCATGTGTGTCAGAGTAGAACTGTGCTCCACAGGGTTTTCAATGACTGATTTTTCAGAAGTAGATAGCCAGGGCTTTCTTCTGAGGCATCTCTGGGGGGACTTGAACTGCCAACCTTTTTGTTAGCAGCCGAGCACGTTAATGGTTTATACCACCCAGAGACTCCATCTGTGAAACAGGAATGGTAATATCTTCCTCACAGACTTATTTTAAGGATTAAACTTGGTGCTATATGTGAAATCACCTCACATACAATAGTTAGCTCAGTGGTTCAGAAGTTAGCTCAGCTTAAATCTAGGTTGACAGAATTCCTGCAGTGTTTCCATAGTCCAATAGAAATGAGCTAAACTGAAGGCAGTGGGGACAGTGGGCGGGGCTCTCCCCAGGAAATAGACTTGACTTGCCCCGTTTTCCCTAGTCACCATAAAACAACACATCCTGCACCTGGAACTAGACACAGACAATAGCTACACAGCTGGACGGCTTGCCTTCCCACCTGCCAGCACTCAAGAGCCACTACACATCGGAGACATCCCAGGTAACTCTTGCCCTGACTTCTTCTACATCCCATATTGACCCCTGTTGGCCCTTAACATTTTCATCTGAACCCAACAAATGGGATGCCCTGGCCCACGGGTTGTTACAGGGCAGCCATTGGCTGGGAGATGGAGATGGTGAGGGCCTTGGCTCCAGCACTTGAGAAACCCAGTTGCCGGCAATAGGTACACATTATTGCCGCTCCCCCTTGTCTCACACCTGTAATTCACAAGCACCTCATAAGAGGCTGCATTAACCTGGAAGCCTGATAGCAGCAAAGAGTCAAGAAAAGGGCTGAAAAATTGGTCTCTCCTCTCCAGATACTTCGTTTTATTGGTGAGTTATTAAGCTTTGTGGGACCAGAATGGGATCATCAGGCAGATTGAGATGTAGTCAAGTATAAGACTTTTCATTCTTCACTGTTTTATGTCCCTCTGATAGTTGGGCTGTTAATGTTATAGGTCTTTCTTGACCCATCAAATGCACAGGAGTTGTTAGTTATTGAATTGGATTGTGGAATCTCCTTCTTTGAAGAACCTGAGGGGTAGCCTAGTTGCTCCTTTGTCACAATAGGTGGCGTGTAGGAAGCCTGCTTGAAGAGGAGGGCAGACTAAGATGGAGGGTCCCTTTTGCTCTTTCTAAGAAGACAGATTTTTAAAATACAGGCTGCATTAATTTGGCAGCATATGTTATCCATTGAATGACTCTCCCTTTTCTCTTTCAGCCAATTTGAAGACTCTGAAGCTACCTGTGTGGAAGTCGTTTTTTGGCTGTCTGAAGAATATTCAAGTCAACCACATCCCTGTCCATGTCACTGAGGCTGCCGAAATCCAGGGGACTGTCAGTCTCAATGGCTGTCCTGACCACTAACTCAAGCCTATTACACAGCAAGGAAACAAACAAAAACAAAACCTGTTGCCGTCGAGTCAATTTCGACTCGTAGCAACCCTATAGGTCAGAGTAGAACTGCCCGTAGAGTTTCCAAGGAGCAGCTGGTGGATTCAAACTGCCAACCTTTTGGTTAGCAGCCGAGCTGTTTAACCCCTGTGCCACCTGGGCTCCACACAACAAGGAAATTCACCTCCAAAAACACTAATTACCTGAGGCACTTCCCTCACCCCATGCAATATCATTCTTGACTTAAGACATCATCTGGACAGGTTTAATAGCAAATCTAATTTTGGATTCTGACCATGTAGTCCCATGATTTCTGGCATTTTGGCACTCAATGATGCATATATATTTTATATAAAAATCTCATTTATTGAAGAAGATGAACAAATTATTATATTCTTTTGGTAATATTATTTTCCATTAAAAATAAATGTCTTTTGAAGAGCATTATTTTCCACTTGCTAAAAAATTAAATATCTTTTCAAGCACTTTAAAAACACAAAACTTTTACATATGTTACATAATTTATGGGGTAAATAAATGCAGTGTACTCTTTAAATGATGATGTTTTATTAGCATAAAACCATTATCTTGATTGTCATTGTTAATTGTAGCAATTGTTCAGCTACCTCTTCCTAGTTTTCTACGGATAATTACTGAGCACATACAGGTAAGGTACTGTGTGTGCTAAGTGTCAGAACTACAGTAACACATAAGAAGAAATTACTGCCCTTAGGGAATATGCAGTTCATTGGGGAGGCAGATCATATTCATAAAATAGTAAATAACTAAGAAAGTGAACTAATGAGCCTATAATCCATTTGGCTTCCCAGTCCAGTCTTCCCCAGCCTACTACCAAAGAAGTTTAGGTTATGATTATCAATTCTTTGAGGGCAAGAACTATCTATAGTTGAGATGAGATGGATATACATACTATAATTAAAAGTTTTTTATGGCAGGCTAACAGAAGTCAATAGGAAGGAGGGGTCACCTAGCTTTATTTGCAAAACAATGAAAGACGTACTGGACCAGTGTTATTACCCAGCACCACTTCCCCTAACAAAGAAGATTATGTAGACATTTCTGGATCTTCTACGTTGTATTTGTCCTTCAGGAGAAAAATAACAAATAATTCTAAAAATTGGATATGAGAATCCTATATGGTATCCTTATAACTATATGCCCTACCCTTCTGAAAATGAGCCAAAGGAGAACTCAGTTCTCTTTTATGACCTTCACACTACAGTCTTATGGATATACGTTGTAACAGTCATACCCATTACCCGTCAAGTTGATTCTGACTAATAGTGACCCTATAGGACAGAGCAGAACTGCCCCAAGGAGAGGCTGGTGGATTTGAACTGCCGAACTTCTGGTTAGCAGCTGAGCCGTTAACCACTGTGCCACCAGGGCCCCCTAACAATCATATCTGTACAAAACTAGAACGGTCTCCTGGAGAGGTAGCAAGGTCCCCATCACAAAAGGTATTAACAGAAGGAAGGTGGTGGACCCTCAAGGATGCCATTTGGGCTTGAAAGTTCAATTGCATGACTCTAAATCATGTGCTTTCTGAAAACATTGATTTTTTTATGAAAAGCCTACCAAGCAATTACCATCCAGGAACTCAGCCTCTCCCTGCATGAAGATCATCCGTTTCACCTCTTCTTGGCAGGTCTGCACTGAAGCCATGATTCTCTCTCCTGAGTTGCTGGTGTTAATCTGACAGGATTAACAGAGTTATTCACTAATGCTGATTATTTGTTAGCACTTTCTAGAAGCATTATAAAGCAGCTGTGGGCTTTCCTTTATTTTGTAGTAGTTTGGAAAACAGCCACCCATCTGCCTTTGCTGATGATTCCAGCCACCAGAAAGTAGCAGAGAGTATCACAGATGGAATTACAGTTCAGGAAACAGAAATCCTTCCATGTGACTGTTCTCAGATTGTAAATGTGTATTTTCTGAAAAGGAATGCTATAGCTTCTTCAGGTGAACTATAATGGAAATTATTTATAAACTGTAAAGTGCCATACAAATATTACTGCTGTTATCTTCAAAGCCATTGCAAGTTGATTCTGACTCATCGAGACCCCATGTGTTACAGAATAGAACTGCTCCATAGGGTTTTCTTGGCTATAATCTTTATGGAAGTAGATCACCAGGCCTTTCTTCCATGGTGCCACTGGGTGGGCTATTATGTTAACTTATGTTAATAGGCAAGCCCAAACCATTTGTGCCACCCAGGGACCTTACTGGCTCACAGGCTTACACAAATTGGGCTGATGGTGGTGTGAGAAGCTTCGTAGGGAAAGCAGGATCACTGGGAGTTGACTCTGATCCCTTCGATACAGGTCCACAGTTGGTTTCATTTTGGCCCACTGGAGTGGGTCCTGGATTATGGTAAAACCAACAGTACATCTCCTTGGGCGGCGGTTGTTTCAGGGGCCCGAGGTAACTATAAAAGCAACCGCATGCCTTTACGGACCCACTTCCTTCACCATCTCTCAGGCATTTCTTGACCTCATTCCTCATTATGCAGTATTACTGAGTTTTCACCACACCCATGGTAACCCCATGTCAGAGGACAGCATGGGACAGTGCACACTGACCTCTCCTCCCGGGCAGGAAATGGTCCCACTGCCTCACAGAGAGCGCTGATCGCCTCCTTCCTCGCTTCACCCCAGAGCTGCTCCGCAAAACCACAAACTGCTGCTCTGCCAACCAGTTTACTCCTCTCTCTTCCAACTCCTAGTTCTTCTTTCAGTAATTCCAACTTTGGGTAGGTCAGTGCTAGCCCCAGAAAGGCCATAATTCTTTCTTAGGGTTGATGAGTTGGAGCCAGGATATGAGTGGGACATTAACATTAACATAGGGACAACAACATAGTGGGAAAATAACATTTTATTGGTGTATTCATTCTATTTCATCAGTCAGGGTAACACCAGGAACCCAGAGGAGAAATCATCAATTTAGTGTAGACTTGCCAACCAAAAACAAAAGCCGTTGCCATCAAGTGGATTTTGACTCATCGATTCATTAGGACAGAGTGGACCTGCCCCACGGTTTCCAAAGAGCAACTGGTGGATTTGAACTGCTGACCTTTTTGGTTAGCAGCCACGCTGTTAACCACTACGCCACCTGGATGATCTTCATGCGGAAAGAGGCTGAGTTCCTGGGTAGTAATCACGTGGTGGGTTTTCATGAAAATCAATGCTTTCAGAAAGCACAAGATTTAATCATGTAATTGAACCTCCGCCCCTGAGGGCCCACCAGGGGGACCTTGTTACCTCTCCAGGAGACCATTCCATTATAGAGAAAAAAATGGAAAATCCAGGAAAGCATACAAATCACTCATAATCCCGCCACTCAGAGATCTGTTCATATTTGGTTGTGTTGGTTAGTCCTTTTTAAATATATATAAAACACAAAGTTTGCCATTTTAACCATTTTTAAGTGTACAGTTCAGTGACATTAATTACATTCACAATGTTGTGCAACCATCACCACTGTCTATTTCCAACACGATTTCATCACCCCAAACAGATACTCAGTACTCCCTATCCTGCTCTTCCCCCAACTCCAGTTAAACACTAATCTACTTTTGTCTCTATGCATTTGCTTATTCTAGATAGTTCCTACAAGTGGAGTCATTTCCATCTTTGTCCTTTTATGTCTGATTATTTCACTTAGCATAATGTTTTCAAGGTTGTTAGTCTTTTCTAATATATGTGAGTTTCCTTACAAAATCATGATTGACACAGTGGCTGCAACAATGGGCTTAATCATAACAATGATTGTGAGGATGGCGCAGGACCGAGCAGTGTTTCGTTCTGTTGTACATGGGGTCACTATGAGATGGAACTGACTCTACAGCACCTAACACCAACAACATTGTTTTTATACAGTTTTTAAAACTATATTGTGTTTCCTAGGTCTGTAACTGATTACAGTCAGTTCAGTTCATAAGATAAATTTACCATAATGTAGTTAACCAACACCCAATAACTAGACAATTAGACTGTTGCAATTTTTTGCAATTGTAAGCAACACTAGAATGAATATATCTTGGAATGTAAACTTATTTATTTTCTTAGGATTAATTCTTAGACATAAAACTACTAGATGAAAGGATATAAACATTTTTATAGTAGTTATTAGCTATTGTCAAATTGTTCCCCAAAAGGGTATGTCCACTTACATTTAAAATCATTTTAAGTGACCTTCCGCCCCTGATGCCACTAAATATAAACCCACTAAGGCCCACCCACAGTTTTCGAAACAGGGAGTAGCTGTTTGAATAACCCAGCTCTTAGAGGCCCACTGTGATCCTGGCTAATTTGAGTCAAAAATCACAGCACCTTGGCCAGCTGATGGGTGTTCAGCTCAACAACTGATTCTGTAAATTGCCTTAAGAGAGTGACAGTTTATCATTTGCTCCTTGGAACTGGTGCTAAGCCACAGACAACGCCAGGAGCGGAGAACACGTCACCACCTGAATACCTCCAAACCAATGCCAAGCACTTGATGTGTTTCCAGAAAAAATCAAGGCACTTCTTGGAGGGTTTGAATAGTGTCATTTGCTGTCTTGTTGTTGCTGTTAGCTGCCATTGAGTCAGCTCCCAACTCATGGCAACCCACGCACAATGGGATTGGACCCTTGGGATACAAAAGGTCTTCACTGGCTGATTTTTCAGAAGTAGATCGCCAGGCATTTCTTCCTAATGTTCTCTCTTAGTAGCAGCTTAACCTCAATAGTAGTTCCAGCCTGCTGTCTTCTTCCTCCTTGACCTTGGAAGTTGGCTCTCTCTGTGCTCGAAACTTTCATAATACTTCTCCATGAAGGACTTAAGGCAACATTTCCAGGATTTAAACAGGTAAAAGCTCAAGTCTCCATTTCTCACCACCCTACCCCACAACGGAGAAATCGAAAGAAGAAACTCTTTTTTCTTAACATGGCTGATAATGCTAAGAGTAGGGGTGGTGAATGGCAGGTGTTCGGTATTTC